GGGTTCAAGCCCTGGCCAGAGACATTGTTTTGTGTTTTTGGGCAAGGCAATTTTATTCAAAGTGCCAGAGACTTTGAAAGTCTCTCCACCCAGGTGTATTACATTATGGGTACTGGCGAGGTAAATGCTGGGGGAGGTATAACCCTGCGATGGACTAGCATCCCATCTAGGGGGGAGTAGAAATATTCCTAGTCACTTCATGTCACAGAAACCAAAAGAACCTCTTGCCTGATGGGCCACTTGGCTCGTATGCAGACTTATAACCATACTAGCTGCTGCCATTTTCTCTTTACTATTAAACAGGCCAAAGCCAGGGGAATTGAAAGCGCTCGGCAGAAGATGTTTTCTGGAGAGAAGATTAATTTTACTGAGGTGTGTTTAATAGGAAATAAGTTTTGCACTGTGTTTAACTGCTTAAAATAGATAAATATTTATCACTGGGCAGTTGGTTAAAAATTAACATAGTCTGATGAAAGCTCCGGTAACTAGACATGTATTTTTTGTTCCAGAACCGAGCAGTTCTCCATATCGCTCTTAGAAACCGTTCTAATACACCAATAAATGTGGATGGAAAAAATGTAAGTTTTGTAGCCTCGTTGATATGCCCTTAATCTTTGCTTTGCATCTCCACCCCACCCGTCTTTAAAATACAGTTAAGCTTCATTCTTTCCTTTAAAAATGTTCACTCTTGATCAAAAGCCCCACCCCCAGTCCTTGTAATTTCTTTTTACCCTTGCTTGGATGGTTATAGGTACTATAACTTTCCTGGATTCTGGATTTGTATATCATTAGATTTATTTATCAGGCTGATGATCAATGCAAATTAAAATTAGCTTTAAATATGCCCTGTGTGCACTTTGTTCATGTATCTAGGTATTTCACCTTGAAAGTATTTGACAGTTGTAGATTTAAAGTCTCAAAAGTGTTCAAAACTAGTACACAATAACTGCAATTACTTTCATCAAAATACAGATGTTTGTCAGAAATCTGTCTCAATTGAGATTTCAAGTTAAGAGATATTTCCTCAGATCAGCAGTCAGCCCCCGCATTTCCCTTGGTAAAAGCTGCACAACCAGTCTTAACTTAATTTGACAAAAAACAACAAAGTAAAACAAATTTATACATTTAAACAAATTTATAATACTGTCAAACCTCATTATTATTATTTACTTTAGTGGACACCCTTAGGACCCAAAAAGTGTCTTCTTAGTAGAGGTACATGGTGTCTGCTTAGGAGCAGTTAAAATAGTGTTAAATATATTAATTAATATTTAATAATATAATTTACTGTATGTGGCTGGTATGATTGCCATGTGTCTGTTTATGGGATATGTCTGCCTGCAGGATTTTCCTGTTAGCAGAGGTCTGACATTAAGTACATTTAATATGTTCATCATCAGGTTATGGATGATGTGAATGCAGTTCTTAACCAGATGAGGGCTTTCACTGAGGTAGGTTAGTTTTGAGGGATGGGTGTTGAAGAAAAACAGATGGATTCCCTTTCTCACTTAAAAAGGGTAATGTTGTAGAAGAGGGAGGGGTGCATGGAAGGTGCGAACCAAACTGGCTGAGAACCACCATGTAAGTGCTGCTACAATTTGTTTTATAAATTGTAAATCAAATATAATAGGGCACCTACACTGTAGCTTGTGAACTTCACTGTTCGTCCTTATAGTCATGGGGAGCAGGGATGGCACAGAGTGCTCTCCTCCCACCAATGTGGCCTGGGTTTGTACTCTGGACCTGGTGTCATAAGTGGGTTGAGTTTGTTGATGGTTCTTGCCTTGCTGTGAGGGTTTTTCTCCAGGTTTTCTAGTTTTCCTTCCTCCACAAAAACCAACACTGCTAAATTCCAATTATTATTCGATCTGGAAATGGTGGACGAAAAGCCTCTCCATGAGATTTGGTA